TATATATATAAACCTGGAATTAATTAAACTATAACCTAATCTAGCCATTCAATTACCTTGGGGGCTATTTTATTCCTTTTTCTTATAAAAGAATAAATGTAAGTGACATAATGAAACAAAAAAGTCAACAGTGAAGGAGGCTTTTTAATAATGGACAGTTTGGCAAATGATCACAGACATTAACAAAAGCTGACTCATGATGAGTTCATTTATTTGTTCTATACATATCTGATTAATAGGAATTAATTCTGTTGATGGAAACAAGAGAACTCCATTGTTATAAACAGATTAGAAATGTAAACACCATTTCCCACAACTACTGACTTCACAAATTATTCTGAATGTTATTTTAAATAATACTGTGACTGTCAGAAATAGTTAGGTGAGCAAAGTGCTCTACTGCCCCCTAATGAAATAAACCAAAAACCAAAACAAAACAAAATCTCCCAAAACTCATTTTAAAGTATCTATGAAACAGAAAAATAATCTTACTTTGCAAAATCCAGGAGACAAACAGTAAGGACATTAGCTGAAAATAAGTAGACTATATATCCAAATACTTTCAGAAAGCTACATCATCCATTTGTCATGATAAAAATAGTAGCAAAACAGGAAAGCCTTGAGACAGAAATGTTCTAAGGGCAAAGATAACAGAGCCAAACAATGTTATCTAGTGTGATAGCAAATTAAAACTTCACTGCAGGCTACATTGCTCATGTGTATGCTAGAAGTGAAGAAAAGGGTTTCTTAGAAACCACACACTCTGGTGAATTACAGTAAGTTTTCAGTTCAGCAGCTCCAAAGTAAACACCACCCAAATATTCTCTCATAATTTACACTCTAATCACCTCACTATTTTAATATGTGCATTTTAAAGACAACTCTTTTATAAAATATATATTTAAGGGGGCTGGAGAGATGGCTCAGCTGTTAAAAGTATTGGCTGCTCTTGCAGAGGACCCAGGTCTGGTTCCCAGCACCCAATTGGCTGCTTCTTGAAATAAACAGTAACACTGAGGTCTAGAGCTACTTGGAAATGTATTCATACTTCCACACATGAAGTAAGTCCCAGTCTACTCCAGTGAGCTCCAGATCATTCTCCTAAATCTAAAGCATTGCTTGGCTCATAGGGGGAAAGAGGACTTTTCAGGCTCTCCTTTCACTCTTCCGAACCCACTAAGCAAAAATATTAAAAATATGATTTTAAAAAAAAGAGAGAAATGACATAAGAAATCAGAAAAGAAAATGTCAATAATTTCATTAGCAAATAAATGTAGCCAGAACTTTGGCCTAAAGCAAAAGGATTTACTAATTTGTATTTAAGCTCCCTCGCCCCAAAATTTATTGATGATATGATGGTATCAACCAGCACTTACTATTTATCACAATAGTACTCAATTGGGCTAATTCACTAATAAATTGATCGATACACCACAGGTATTTAATCCTCACAAAAATCCCACAAGATACAACCTACATGCTACAAAGAAAGAAATACACTCACTAAGATTAAGTACCATGCTCAAGACTAAACCACTACAAAACTGCAGAGTGTATAACATACTTCTCAGTTTGACTCTTAACCAGTAAGTTTATATTATTTTTTCCAGTGGAAAATCTACCACATTAAAATTTTGTAGTCACATAACCTAGGCTAGCCAGCAGTCCTGGTTCTTAAAAAAAGACAGAAATGCCTACAATATAAATAATAATGAACAGGCTACTGAAGAGGAACAAGTCCCACCCTTTGATGCCCATTATAAATGCAGCCATTTGACAAATGGAGGAAATACATTTCTCTACATGCCACAGTAGGAATTTTCCTCGGTAATTATTTCATCTTTGATAATTATGGTCAGGTTATTCAAAAATTCATGCTACAGGAGAAACCGCCCTGTGATGTTATGACTAATACAAAATTCTATCATGCAAGAGTTAAGATTCAGAGACAAGAATACACAGTACATACAACAAAATGTAATTAGGATGATCATAGTATCCCAGGCCTTGGCCAGACAATAAACATCCTCTTCTCTTTGTATATGCAGCTCAAAATGCACAAAGACACAGACAGACAGACAGACACACACACACACACACACACACAGAGTATCTAGAAACATCTAAAACATTAAAGCATTAATTTAATATGTTCTCCACTAAATTTTAACCTTGCAGAAATTATAGACGGCATTATGAAACAGGCTTATGTAAGAAGCTGCTTGCAAGATAAAATGTTTCTTTAGATAAATAGCATATTTAAATCTGACATCAAAACCCATTATAAATAAAGTATCTGGCAATTTATTAAGCCTTATTTAATTTTAGCGGATTTATGTTTAAATCTTAAATCCAGACTCTGTGATCAATAAAGTGTAAGACCTATCAAACAAAATCCCTCTTTTCAATAGGGCACAAATTCTCACCTTCGAGTCTTCATCGCCAACTCCGAATTGTAACACAGCTTGGGGAGACTTCAGTTTTGTTTGGGCAGAGTGAGCCATTTGAAGGTTAAGCTGCCACCCAACTGTCTCTAGCTACAAAAGACAAGTGCAGAATGGAATCAGATGGTATAGAAGCAAGAAAACAGTCAACTTTAAGCCAATTTCCACTCAGCAGAAATCAACACAAATAGCTTAGACTTAGTAGGAAGTCAGTTCACAGGGCTCCTTTAACCTGCATTCTACAGATTTGCCCTCTGGACTCATGAGACTGGCCTCTTAACCAGCCTGTCAAATTCACCAGTAAAAGTGGTCTTTAACATACCCTATTCTAAAAATAAAAAATTCTAGACAACCAAGTACACACAAAGAGCCTGTGGTGGTTTCAATGGGAGTGTCTGATCTGGCGTCCTCCTGCCATGCCTCCCCACCATGATGGACTCTTATCCCTCTGGAACTGTAAGCTCAATAAACTCTTCCTTCTAAAAAATGCCTAAGTCATGGTGTTTTATCACAGCAACAGACAAGTAAATACAGAGCAAATAGGTGGGACTTTGGGATGGGTATTATTTTGGCTTTTTCTTTCGGGGGGGGGTCTTTTTGAGACAGGGTCTCCCTGTAGCCCCAGCTGTCCCGGAACTCACTATGTATTCCAGGCTGGCCTTGAACTCAAAGAGATCCACCTGGCTGGCTTTTTTTTTTTTTTTTTTCATAAACACACTATGTAGTCCCTCAAATGCATTATATAGTCAAGGGTGATCTTGAACTTCTGATCTTCCTGCCCCACCTCCCAAGTTCTGGAATTATTGTCATGTGCCACCACATCCAGCTGGGCCAATGGTTTTTTAAAAACCTTATCACTATTCTAAAATAGCATTTCAAAAACTTGTATGTTAAAAAGGTTACAAATTTCAAACTAGTAAATAGTATATTTGGGTGAAAATTCTTTAGTATCTCCTACTGCCTTTCAAAATGTTTGCATTAGGAGGGGAAAGGGGAAGGCTTTCTTTGGCTCCCTCCCTCCTTTCCTTCTTTCTTTTATCCTTTTCACTTAGAGGGAAACTAATATATCCACATACAAGAGTCATACCTTGAGGCACAGTTAATAAGCAAACAGAATAGAGCCAGGTAAGAGATGCTAAAATGTTAGCAGGTAATATTACCAATGAGATCATTATATTTTCCAAAGTATGCTAACTTACTGTGGTTCTAAATTATGATAGAAACTATTTCCTTTGACTTTACTAACACAATACAAAATATGATAGACTGTGGCAGTTTGTTTTCTTTTAAAATATTGCACAGTATAAACACAGCTTTATGGAACTATTTAATTATGAAACTAGATTATCTGTTCTTCCAATCTCAGAAGTATGAACATACAGTTTTAGAGTCAATGTCCTATGCCCTATAAAGGTCAAGTTTCAGAATTTAGGGAAGTTTTGTAAAGTGCAAGCATTAGACATCTTTGACAAGATAGCCTTCATGGTGGATTCAGCAAAACTACCTTTGCTATGCAGGGTAAGAATGGCAGCCTCATGGCAATGTTTACTTGTGCCGAATACTAATCACTTAACTTGAAAGACTGTTGAACAGACAGAATCACAGTGGTGACTCAACGCTGAGTTGGAAACAAAGCAATGAAAGTGTTATCTATGTGAAAGAGGATGTGATGGGAAATTAGATACAGCTGTGCTTTTCCTGGTACTTTTAGAGGTTATAGATAATGGAGGGTGAGGCATAATCCATAATCCTCAACAAGTAAAAAATATCAGTTTAGTGGTACATATTATGGATGCTAAGAATGGTAGCCCTTTAGCATTGATCAGAACAATCTCGATAAAACCTGCCATTGTTTTCAACAGTCACAAGAACAGCCCCTTCAATAAGCCAAAATGTCATTATTAATATCATGAAAATTAACTTCTGGGTATCCATATGGACCTATGAAGTACTTGGCTGACCTTATTTAGATGACCTTATCCATGCATTCATTCACATATGCCTTGGTGATGGGTAAAATTGGTGTGAGGCCATGGAACAGAGCATTAAAGTTGAAAGTTCTGCCTTGGTTCATACTTAAGCCATTGCTCCCTAGTCCCTGGCTAAGTCAGAATCTTTCAAGATTTCAACTCCTCAGACAAAACAGAAGTGACTCTACCTGAGCTATCTGCTTACCTGAGTTTTTGGCAGTATTGAAGCAGAAAACTTCAAAGCATTATAAATAAAAGACATTTTAGTCACCCAACTTTGTAATACCTTTCAAATATTTTCCAAAGTTCTTAACCTAGTTCAGACCCTCATCATTCATCTTTTCCCAAACTACTTCTAACTGGGTACTTGCTCTTCTATGCTAGATAGTTTTAGTTGACAATTTGACGCACCTGGTAATAGGGAACTTCAATTGAAGAACAGCCTCCATTGGATTGGCCTGTGACCATATCTACTGGGCATTTTCCTGATTGCTGAGTGATGTGGGAGGGCCGAGCCCACTCTGGGCAGTGCCACTACTGGGCAGGTGATTCTGTATTATGTAAGAAAGCAGGCTAAGCACAGACAGGGGAGCAAGCCAGTAAGCAGCATTCCCCCATGGTCTGTGCTCTAGGTTCCTGCCTTGGCGTCCCTAGATGATGGACTATGCTGTAAATCAAATAAACACTTTCCTCCCTAAGTTGGTTTTGGTCAGTGCCTTTATCATAGCAATAGAAAGAAACTAAGACAGAAATTAGCATCAGCGAGTGGAATAATGCTGTGATCAACCTGACTACATGTGTCTGGAGGATTGTGGAAGTGTCTGCAACTTTGGTCTGGAAAAGCCATTGAGTGTTCAGAGCTTAGTAAGTTGTTGCTGTGGAGCTTGGAACAGTAATGCTGAAAAGAAATATGGAGGATGGAGGCCTGGCTTGTGATTTTTTAAGGGAAGCAAAGACTCTATCAAGGCTGTTTTTGTGATATATTATGACTTAAAAATTTTTTGAAATGAAACCTTTTCTGCTGTACTGGGATAATCGATGCTGGTCAGCTGGGGCTGAAAAACTAAGCTGTGAGTAATAAGAGACCAGTATCACTAAGGTGAAATCTGGGAAGTATTTCCTCAGGGTAACCACACAGAAGCTGTGGTCCACAGGGGGCTAAGGCTCTATCTCAAGTTGGAAGCAGGACTTAGTAATGTGTAAGAGTCTCCTATATGGTACTGGTTTTGAAATCATGAAGCAGTCCTGATGAGCAGCTGAGGGTTGGCACTGTGAAAGGTCAGGAAAGGCCATAGGTAAAGGTACAGCCTCGGTTTTGGTGAAGATCCCCAGTATTGATGGGGTCATAGAAAGACACTGAAGCTTTGTACCCTGAAAGGCTAGAAGAGCGTATTGGTGAAGGTGCAGCCTCAGTTTCAGTAGAGACCCCAGCCTATTGGAGATGCCAGGACCATGGAACAACCACCAAGGGCAGCAGCAGGTATGGAGTGGAGCTGGTCTGAGCCTGCAAGACAAGCTGTGTGTACTGTGGATGAGAGAGCCAGAAGTGGAGCTGCCCAAGCCCTTTGGAGCCCTGAAGATCATTAAATGAATCCAGAAGATCATGAATGAATCCAACACTGAGCTACTTTGCTGGGCTTTGGTTCTGCTTAAGTGTGCCCAATTCATTCCTTTTGAAATAAGACAGTACTTGTTTTGGATTTTATAAGAACCCACAGTTAAAAAGACTTTTAAAAGAGACTTCAAACTTTTAAAGTGTTCGGATTTTTTTAAGGACTGTAGGACTTTTAAAGTTGTACTGTTTTATGTTGTAATATTAATATTAATATCATAATTTTGGTGTGATGGCTAATCTTGGTTGTCAACTTGACTGGATCTGGAATTAACTGAAATGAGAGAGACTTTTTTGATTGGATTATTTGATGCTGGAAGACCAACCCTAAATGTGGGTGTTACCTTCTGATGGCAGCCCATATAAAATGCCATGGCAGAAGGGAGCTCTTACTTTGCCTGCTTGCCTTCTCTCTCACTGGTGAATTTATCTTGTGGCATTCCTCCACTGACAGTAGAACCAACTTCTTCGAATTCCAATATAGACAGGAGACTAGCAGATCTCCAGGAATCCTTCAGGCCTTCAGCAACAGATTGGGACTGCTGAGATACCCAGCTTTGTGGACTGAGCAACTACTGGATTCTCAGCCTCTCCAGTGTGGCACAGTGATATATATATATATATACACACACACATACATTTTATCAGTTCTGTTTCTTTAGAGAACACTGACTAATACACTTAAGGGCAAGATATGGAAAGGCTGTGGTTTAAAGTGATGTGTTTGACAAGGGGTCAATTGTGCTGGATAACTTTAGTTGTCAATTTGACAAACCTGATTCAAAGGAAACTCAATTGAGGAACTGTCTCCATTGGACTAGCCTATGGCCATGTCTATGAGGCATTTTCTTGATTGTTGAATGATGTGGGAGGGCCCAGCCCATTGTGGGCAATGCTACCCCTGGGCAGGTGGACTTATATAAAAAAGCAGGATGAACACAGGTCAGGGGAACAAGACAGTAAGCAGTGTATCTCCATGGTCTGTGCTCCAGGTTCCTGCCTTTGACTTCCCTTGATGACGAACTGTGCTGTAAGTCAAATAAACACTTTCCTCCCCAAGTTGGTTTTAGTCAGTGTGTTTATCACAGCAATAGAAAGAAACTAAGAGATCCTCTGTCCAACTCAATCTTAAAATTCCATTTTCCTTCTTAATAGCATTCAATAGCTGTCTTACAAAATACAATCTAAATATTTTAAGTCCAAAGTCTGGTAAACAAATCCCATCAGAATATACAAATGACCTACCTTTCTGACCCTGTGTTGTAACATACTTTAGTAACTGTTTATAATCTAGCCACACTGAACCAAACGTGACTCCCAGAATTCACTGCTCATTCCCATGTCTGTGTTTGCTCCTATGTTACTTCTGTAGTTTTTCCTTTCCCTTCCCTCTGGAGTTTGCCACCCTGCTTCTCCATACACTGTTTCCTTCTCTATTAATATTTACATCAGTATATGGTAATGGTTTGCCTACATCTCTATCTTCTGGAAGTAGATTGCAATATCCATCT